CCCCTTCAGTCCAGCCCACGACACAGCCCATTGAGCCAAACCCCTCAACCTCCACAAATACACACCCAATGACCACACGCGCCAAATCCGGCATCCGCTGCCCCAGATCCATCCTTAACCTCAACACTACAGCCCACATCTCACCACTCCCCCCAACCTATCGTAGCGCACTAAAAGATCCAAACTGGTATGATGCAATGTGTGATGAATTTAATGCTTTAATAAAGAATAATACATGGGAATTAGTACCCCCTCCCCACCCAAAATGTTATCACTGGCAAATGGCTTTTTCGACACAAATTTGGCCCCACGGGTGATCTGTCCAGGTACAAAGCTCGTTGGGTAGTCCGAGGGTTCAACCAGCGTTTCGGCATCGACTACAGCGACATGTTCAGTCCGGTCATTAAACCAGCCACCATACGGATTGTCCTCAATCTGGCCCTCTCTCGGGGCTAGCCCATACACCAGCTGGATGTTAAGAATGCTTTCCTCCATGGCCACCTTCAAGAGACTGTCTATGCCAGTCAGCCTTCTGGGTTCGAAGATCCATCATGCCCACATCATGTCTGCAAACTAAAGAAGGCCCTATATGGCTTAAAACAGGCACCTCGCTCTTGGTATCAACGGTTTGCTGGTTTTCTACACCATATTGGTTTTCAGGGCTGCAAGACTGATACTTCTCTGTTTGTCTACACACGAGGCACTCACATGGCCTACCTGCTCCTTTATGTTGATGACATTGTGCTCACAGCCTCGACGACCTTGCTTCTATCTCAGATCACAGAGCGCTTAAAAGGTGAATTCGCCATGACAGATATGGGGGAACTCAATTTTTTTCTCAATATTAATGTCCAGCGCACCAAACAGGGACTCTTCTTACATTAGACTCAGTTTGCTCATGAAATTCTGGACAGAGCAGGCATGACACACAGCAAGCCGATCTCTACACCTGTGGACTCTAAAGGGAAAATGTCCGCTACTGATGGTGACCCAGTCCACGACCCCTCTCTTTATCGTTCCCTTGTTGGTGCTCTTCAGTATCTTACTTTCACCCGACCTGATCTTACATATGCAGTACAGCAATTATGCCTCTACCTTCACGCCCCTCGGACGCCCCATCTCACCGCTTTAAAACGGGTACTCCGTTATTTGCAGGGTACCGTTACCTATGGGATCACATTATCTCGCAGCTCCTCTGATCTACTTCAGGCCTACTCCGACGCCGACTGGGCTGTTTGTCCGGACACACGATGCTCCACATCTAGCTACTGTGTATTTCTAGGGGACAACCTCGTTTCATGGTCTTCAAAACGACAAGGAACCACCTCCAGATCTAGTGCTAAGGCAGAATACAGAGCCATAGCCAATGCAGTTGCTGAAACCAGTTGGATCCGAAATCTTTTACTTGAGCTACACCAACCTCTGCGCCGGGCCACCATCGTCTTTTGTGACAACATAAGTGCAGTTTATTTATCCCCCAACCAGTGCAGCATCAGCGTACCAAGGATGTCGAAGTTGACATTCACTTCGTAAGAGACAAAGTAGCACTGGATCAAGTTCGAGTTCTTCACGTTCCATCCTCCTCTCAGTTCGCAGATATCTTCACCAAAGGGTTGCCGTCTATTCTCTTCAATGATTTTCGACATAATCTTGGAATCCGAAGATCTCCAACGGAGTCGGTAGCATGTTAAATATGTTAAGAATATTAGTTAAATATGTTAAGCATATTTCCTGTATCAAATCTAGTACATACCTTATTTGTATAGGATTCACATTTATTGTTGTTTCCTTATTGTAACCCCTTCCCATTTGCATATAAAGGGAGGTGGATTCATTGTATTAAATCGAGGAAAATAATAATTCTTCAACATCAACCAAAAAATTCGAATATTTATTGGAGTTTACGAGGAATGCTCCCGATCCCGGAAGAGCGGGATGAACGATGCTGATAATCTGCAGCAAGCCACCGCTCGGTATCAAGATGACGGACTCCAAGGCAAGGTCCCCGTCGATCTTTGGAGAATTTTAAGCCGTTCCCCAAATGGCAACAACTCAACAACCCCCGAGGCCAGATCGTCAAAGAAAAGATTCTCCGCCACTAAGGTTGAGGCTGATGACACTATCGGCTTGTCGGAGCAAATGTCTCCCTTCAACCTAGACGACTCCGATGACGAGGACCCCATTCCACGACCGATCGGAAGAAAGAAGGCAAAATCTATTGCCTCGGGTTTTGTAGGGTCCGACTCTATTTCTTTTCACGACGATATCGATCAGGCAATGGTTTAACAATTTTGAGTGTTCAATATTAAGGAAAAAGAGAGTGAGAAACAAAGGTAATAGAACAAGAAGCTAGAAATAATGAAAACGAACCTTCATACGTTAACGGGCTTCAAGTGTACTCCCTCCGCCCAAAAACTCATTCACGTTTCAAAAAAATTGTGTCCCACAATCTCCTTCCCATTTCTATTAAAAAACTACTTTTATCCCTTACTTTTTCATAACCTACCTATCATATCATACTTTTTTCCTAATAATCTACACATCACATCCTACTTTTACCCATAACATCAAGTGTATTTTTGGAAAGTCAGCACAAAATTATCCTTCCTTAATTTCTCACTTTAGTCAAAGCGTCCCTATATTTCTGGGACGGAGGGAGTATGTATTATGAGAAAAGACAAAACGAGATCAATGCTAAATATAATTTGCTTTAGTTTTTTAATTGATATAAATTTTTTAATTAAATATTTTTTTTATTTAATGTAATTTTTTATTTAATACATTATTAACATTTAAATTTAATTAATTAATGAAGTTTTATTAATTTAATTTTACAAAATGTGTATTTCAAAATTAAAGAATAAAGGCATGAAGCCCTAGTTTAAGCTTTAAGGCTTCTTCAAACTCATTTTCAGTGAATTGTGGTAAGTTAAAACTGGAGGAATTTTTTTAAATACTATTAAAATATAGTGACTTTTCCAATGTAGTACCATATATTTTTATTTCCAATGTAATACAACTACTCATTATAAACTTGTCATTATTCAAGTAAATATGCACTGCCACTAGACACTGTTCAAACTAAATGTCTAACATCACTGGACATTGTTCTAGACATTATTCAAGTAATATTTCAGAAATAAAAAAGTTTAAATACTACATTGGAAAATGATATATGTTTTAATACTATTTAGTGCAAATTTCACTTAAAACAGACGTGACATAGAGAAAAATTTTGAAGTCCCGATTTGAAGCTGCGCGTCTTCACAACCATTTCGAGTGTTCTTAAGGACAAGGGAAGGGAAAGATATTATTCACAACAAATAATTTAACTCAATAATTCATACTCTCTTTGTCTTAGAGTATTTGTTTAATTTTGACCTTTTCAGTCAAAATTTGGAACCTTTGACCCCAAATTAAATAAAAATAATATTAGATATTAATATAAAAATAATTTTATTAGATTTAATATATCAAATATTTTCAAATATAATTTTATCTAATTAATATATAATATATATTTTATTTAACTATAGGTCTATAAGTCAAAGGTTGAAAATAAAGAAATAAATAATTAAAAAAAATTAAAACTAAACAAATACTCCCTCCGTCCCACTCTCTTTGTCCACTTACCTTTTGGCACACCATCCAGTGCACTTCTTTAATCCATTTTATCTTATAATTTGTATATTAAAAAATTATAGAAATTATATATTAATAATCTATATGTTAAGACAAATCAAATAAGATCACACATGACTATATTTAGGCTTACACATTGAGAGAATTTGATGAGTCAAAGTACTTAGATGAACAGTTCCAAAAGTTAAAAGTGGAAAAAGGGAGTGGGACCGAGGCAGTAATCTAGTAAATGGATATACTAGACCACAGGCAACTGAGGCAAGCTAGCACTTCATGCTCAATTAATGATAACTCAAACAAGAATGCATTTAAACTATAAGTCTATACTCCTTTCATTTCTTTTTCATAGGAAAAGATAAATTATTACTAGTATTTTTGATGTGAGATTTTTTTTATGAAATGGAAGAAGTTCTAAAATTAACCCAATCAAAACTACCTTCTCAACGCTTAGTACTACACCGTTTGGCGATCAAGACTCCGGTGGGCGGGCCGGTGACCGTGAAAGTGCAGTGGCTGTTGAGCCAATAAGAGTACTGCAGAAACCCGCCCAAATCCGACTTCACTCTGAACAGACCCTTCACTTCAAATCTCACTCTCCCTCTCTGAATCTGATTCCTCAGCTTCTCACTGTGGTCCGGCGAGAGCCCCACCTGGCTGCTCACCATGTGAATCTCCCGGAATTTGTACTCTCCGTTCATCATGGAGAACGGCCGGACGTAGGTCGACGCGATGGCGCTCTGCTCGTGGTAGAGATCCACGGCGGCGTAGCGGAACTCGACCCGGCCTTTCTTGTTCGGGTTGGTGAAGTTGGCGAGGAGGGTGAGGTCGCCGTTGAGGAGGTGGCCCATGTCCAGGTAGGCGGCGTTCAGGGTGGCGCTTGAGAGGTCGAATTTCGGGCTCCTGGGCCGGAACACGAGGTAGACGATGAGGACTGCGAGGAGTCCGAGGATGACCACGACCCAGAACACCGTGCAGCAAGCGGCGATCAGCCACGCGAACGGGTTCGTTTTGGATCTCTCCGCCGGGAGTCTCAGGGATGACGGGTGGGGCTCTTGCCGTCGCGCCGGAGGCGGCGAGAGGGGCAGGGGTCTGGGTGGTCTTTTCTTTCTCTGCGGAGCAGGGGCGGGACGCTGGCCGTCGATTGGCTTCTGTTGGGAGAGGCGCTGGGGGCGGAATGATTCCCCCTGCACGAATTCCGGCGTCGGCGGCTGCGTTGCCGGATTCTGGCGAGGCGATGGTGGCGCGGGGGTACCACTAGGCGCCGCCGGAGTTGGGACTCTGGAGATCCGCCGCGACTGCGGAGGGTCGTCAGAAGGCCTCTGCGGTGGCGATACATCAGTCGCAGGCCTGTACTGGCGGGGTCGTTGTGGCGGAGGGTCGATAGGTCCGCGCGGCGGCTCCGGCGACTCTGGGTCGAGTGTGGCGGGGAAAAAGTGAGGATTGGTTTCGGGTTTCTTGTGCATTGTGTTGATTTGGGGAAATGGAAGGGAGCAATTGTCGGGTTTGGCGACAGGGAGAAGAAGAAGAAGAGAGGAGACAGCTTGAGGAGAACATCTTGGGAGTGGATTCAATGCAGGGCAAAGAATCAGATTTTAGCTAAGCAGGGAAGATAAGCCATCTTTTTATAAAAATAAGGCAAATTTGAGCCAAATTAAAAATTTAAAACCTCACATTTGGGATGCTTCCATTAAGAGCACTGGTAATACCGCTCACGCCCACCGGCGTGATGAGCGGTTTTAACGCCGGGGGCGTTAAACACCGCCCCCCATCGGCGTGATACGGGCGTGATGCGCTCGGCGTCACTCGTTTGACGCAATCCCCCTCCCCCCTTAACGGCTAATTTAGCCGTTGTAAACAAAAAAAATTAGTTTATTTTTTTAATAAATTTCAAACCCCCCCTCCCATTCTCACACCTTCACTCTTCTTCAATCTTCTTCACAAATTCTTCAATTTCAAACTCTCCCTCTCTCTTTTGAACATGAATCCTTCCGGGTCCGGCTTCTTTCCCGACAATCTCGCGCCTCACGATGCCGCGATGTGGTATTTCTAGGAATTCGGGGATCATCCGCCGATCTTCGACACGCAACAATCGGGGTACGTCGAGCGAGATTCGATTTTGGAGACTCAACCGGAACAATCCGGCTCCAAAAAAAAGTACACGCCGGAAAAGCCACAAAGCAAAAGGCACGATGACCGAGGCGGCAAGGTCAATCCAAAAGTGGACGCCGGAGGAGGAGTGCTTATTGGCGTCGGCTTGGGTTGACGTCTCCGAGCATCCTATCATTGGTAAAAATTATATGTTTTCTAATATATTTATGTGTTTATTTATATAAAATTATATTTAATTGTGTCATTAAAAAAAATTCGTGTTATACTTTTTTAAAGGTTCGGAGTAAACGAAGGATTCGATGTGGGATCGTATCGAGGAGAAGTTCTTCACGGCGATGAACAAGGACGGCTCCTACCGTACCCGGGACCAACTCACTTTCAAATCGAGCCACATTAACCATAAAGTCCGAAAGTTTATCGGAGTTTACGAGGAATGCGTTTGGTCCTGGAGGAGCGGGATGAACGACGCCGATGTTCTCCGGCTTGCCACGACCCGGTATCAAGATGACGGGCACCAAGGCATGGTGCCCATCGATCTTTGGAGGATTTTGAGCCGTTCCCCAAAGTGGCAACAACTCAACAATCCCAACGGCTGATCGTCAAAGAAAAGATCCTCCGTCGACGCCGAGGTTGAGGTCGACGAGACTATCGGTTCGTCCGATCAAATGCCTCCCTTCAACGTTGCGGATTCCGATGACGAGGACCCAATTCCACGGCCGATCGGAAGAAAGAAGGCAAAATCCATTGCCTCGGGTTCGGGAGGGTCCGGCTCTGTTTCCGTTTCTTCTCGCGACGAAATCGGTCGGGCAATGGTTGAACAACTTCGGGTGTTCAATTTTCGAGAAGAAGAGAGGATGAAGCTAAAGGAGAAGGAGATAGACCTGGCAAATCGGTCGGTCAGGTCGGGTTCGGGTTCGGTCACCTTGGGTTCGGTTAAGTTCCTGTTCGGGTTGATAACTACATGTTCATGACCCAATGTTATCGGGTTGACCCAACGGGTTATGAGTATCATTTATTTTTTTAAAATTTTAAGTAATTTTTATGACTTAGTGTCAATATTACGAATAAAAAAATTTAAATATGTAGAAATTTTGAAAAAATGTAAGATAAGTATGCGACATCATTAAAATTTGTTATGATGTTATAAATCTATACACAAAAATGAGTAGTAAGCAAAGAAATATAATCATAATCTTATTTTTATAACACTATATTTCATATTAAAATGTATGATTCTGAAAAAATCTTAGATTAGCGGGTCGGTCAGGTCGGGTTCGGGTTCGGTCGGGTTTGACCCATTTTTAGCGGGTCATTTCGGGTTCGGTCAACTTCGGGTTCGGTCAGCAAAACCTTTATTCAAAACCCAGTATTTTCGGGTCGGGTCTCGGGTCAAAAACAGGTCGGGTCTTTTTTTTCCAGGTCTAGAAGGAGATGAAGCGAAAGGAGCAGGAGGACGAGATCAAAATCATGGAAACCGACCTTTCTACGTTGTCGGGTTTCAAACAGATGATCTACGAGCAAAGACAAAGAGAGATCAAGGCGAAATATAATTTACCTTAGTTTTTTTATTAATGTACTCCGTATCTTTTTTATTATTGTCTTTTTTTTATTTTAATGAATGTAATTTTTTAAATTTTAAAGTATTGTCGTTTCAATTTCTTTAAATTTAATGAATGTATTTTTTTATTATTCGTGTTTCAATATAATTAAATAATAAATTAATTACATTTTATTAATTTAGTTTTAGAAGATGTATATTTAAAAATGTAAAAAATGAAGGTTTGAAGCCCCAGTTTGAAGCCCCGGGGCTTCAAACCCATTTCCAGTGAATCTGTGAGGTAAGTTAAAGCTGACGTGGCAGAGAGAGAAATTTTAAAGCCTCGATTTGAAGCCCCGGGGCTTCAAACGTATTTCCAGTGCTCTAAACAAACAATAATACTCCTTATACACAACTTTTGTATCCTCGGTATATTTTTTTAGGGTAGTATTTTGATTGCTTAAACTTGCACAAAATGTTTGTGAGATGGTGAATTTTTATACTAACATTTTGTGTTAGAGTGAACTATCAAAATGTTGGTATAAAATTGTAGTGTACAAAATGATATACACCTAGTGATGATGTAAATTATCTCGACCAGAATACCGTTCTTAGCCGGATAAGAATGATAAACTTGTCTAACAAAATGTACTAAAATACAAAGGGAAAACGACCAAATTAGTAGTAAAACATATGTCATGTCCTCAAAACAAGAGCTCAAACTTAAACTCCTCTAAATATGAGTAGTTCACGAGATTAATTTAAACATCTCCCTCTATTTTGATGATGTACGTAAAGGATTTCTTTTTTCGATCAAGAAAAATACCCAATGCAAGCGCTAACACTACGTTTGGCTCAAGGATTTTGGAAGGAAAAGAAAAAAAATGGTTTTCTCTCATTTTCGTCACCAAAATGGAAGGAATTTGGTTTTCTCTCCACTTGGTACATTTTGCCTCCTCATTTTCCTTTCCTTCCACTTTTCCTTTCTTTTCCCCTCTAACCAAACAAGAAAAATGGTTTTCCACTTCATTTTCTTTTCTTTTCCTTTTCAAATTCCTTGAACCAAACATAGCTTAAAGGAAACAACGCTACTCCCTTTAGCCGGTCTTCCTTTTGCCGCCCACCCACTTTTCATTCCATTAGCCAATCTCCTTCAAATGCTATACTGCCTTCATTGTTAATTTTTTATTTGAGATGAATATCCACATGATCTAACTTAATTGAAGCCAATGACCCTGACAATGGGGTGCCATGCATGAATAGACCCGAGGATATCCTCAAACCGACTGACCGGTCACTAAGAGAAGTAATTTTGATTTTGATCACATATTTGTGCCAAATAGTGGAGTCTGCATCTGATAATTGCAAATGTCTATGCTTATCATAATAGTCTCTTAGTGCAGTTACCGGAAATCAAACTCAAGTTTTATCTCTTTGACACTCTTTATATTTGTTAATTGTGTAATGTCCACCGACATGAAAGTAATCTAATGAATCATCAAATGAGAATATCCATCCTAGATTACTCGTTTCAAAGACCTTTCTCATTCAGTAATTCTCTCTCGCTAAAATTTTAATGGGAATTTATCAAAATAGTATTAGAATATAGTGACTTTCCTAATGTAGTATCATATGTTCTTATTTCCCAATGTAGTATAACTAGTCATTGTCCACTGGTCATTGTTCAAGTAAATATCCACTGCCACTGGGCATTGTTTAAATTAAATGTGGACCATCATTGAACATTGTTCCCGCCACTAGACATTATTCAAGCATTATTTAGTCAACAAAAAGTTAAAGTACTACATTGAAAAATAACATATTCCGTATATTTTATTACTATTTAGTGTAAATTTCACTTTTTCAAGTCATTATCTATCACGATTTGGAAGTAGCATGTTTGAAAAAAATTGCACCCCAAGATTTGTACCCTAATTTGTACAACGCAGGCGCACACCTACATTTTGTATCTGTATAATGTTAGGGTGATAATTCACACAGACACAAAATGTTAGTATAAATTTTTGTTAATGCACCAGTATATTGTGTCAGTGTGAACTATCAAAACGTTAGTATATACTTTTTGATGAGTAATAACCCATGGATACCACCCGGTTGGTTCGTCCGACTGGGTGGCGATTGGAGTGACAGAGCGCATCCTTCTCAGACCGGGTCGTGAGGTCGGTAGGCTGGGTGGGCTATATGCCTACAACAATCGAAACGTTCTCCAAGTGCTCTTATGGGACCGGTCGGAAGGCTGACCGGTTGAATAGTCAGAGACGTGCTTGACGTGCTTAGTTTTGTTATAAATACCCTTAAAACCCTCATTTGTGAGATATGTTTTAATTAACCTATACGGCTTGTACTGTGTAATAGTCCTAGCATTATCAATAACAAACCGGGTTACAGGTGTTTCCACCTACAGCCCTTCCGATTACTTTTACTTAGTGTTTGCGTGGTAATTTACACCATCAAATTGGCGCCGACCGTGGGACCTCATTACAAAAGTCATGACAAGCAACCAGGAAATGGTGATCTCACAAATTTCAACTCCCGCTGAGAACGTTACTTCGTTCCCGGGAGGAAGTACCCAACCGTCAAGCCAGATTCCTACCCCCATAATCACCATTCCACCACCTATTCCGTTCACTTCCCCCGTCACCTCTATCCCCATTTTTTCTCCAAATTTTCCCGGGACCGTGGACCCGCTGTTTTCACAGGCATTCCAAAATTTTGGGCAGTTTATGTCCATGTTTCAACAGCCAAGAGGATTTTCACCTTTCATTCCCGGGTTATACCCACAATCCTTGCCCCAAACTAATATCGTCCGCCCGATCGCTCCAACAAACCTGATCGGAGAAATGGACAAAGTTGGTCCGTCCCGGTCCAGAAGGAGTCGGTCCCGAAGGTCACGCACGCAGATCACGCTTGATGGCAATGTGCGATCAGTCCATAGCAGGGACGAGGATTGGGATGTACCCCAGGCACAAAAGAAGCTGAAGGGAAAAGCTATTCAGCCTGAAGGGTCCAGGAGGTCAGCGTTTCAAAGGCTTGGCCATGAAGGCCGAAATCAAAACCGGCCTGCCAAAGAACGAATAGGGGTGGAAACAACCCCGTTGAGTTCTTTTGATCGCCTGGGTAGAGGGGCCGAGCGACCTGGTCAGACCAGGCGCACGGAACCTCCCCATCGCGAAGAGCCCCAACATAGCCGGGCACCACGAGAGGAGGAAGCAGAAAGCCACCCCAGGCATACGACTCGTACCCTTGTTGAGCCACGGGATCGTGTGGGCCGGGTTGAGGCACGACTGGAGAAGCTACAGCGCCGGGTAGACCGGGAGGAAAAGAAGAAAGTTCTGTTGAACGAATCTCCGTTCACAGACCGGGTCCATGAAACCCCATTTCCAAAGAAGGCAAAACTTGAGGTCCCAAAGTTCACCGGGAAGGAGGACCCGGAAATTCACGTCAAAACCCTCCATCAAAGCGGACGGATGATGGGTCTTTCCGAGGATGAGAAATGTCTGCTTTTCTTTCAAACCCTTCGCGGCCGTGCCGCTGAGTGGTTTCATAACCTACTGGCCGGTGAAATCGACTCTTTTGATGAACTGGCTGAGGTGTTTCAAGAAAAGTTCAAAGAAAACTGTACCAAGAGGAAAAAATTTACCTACTTGAGTACAGCCGGGCAGCGAGAGCACGAGGATCTGAAAAAATTCCTTACCCGGTGGAAGGATGAGGTTGACAAGGTGGAGGAGATGGACGACAAAACAGCCATGTCCCTCCTTGTGTCCGGGCTCCGGTCCGGAGAATTGTATAAGGAATTCTGCAGGAGGCCTCCCCAGTCCTACCAGGAGGCCTACAATACAGCCTGGGATTATGCTGACGCCGAAGCACAGGTGTCGTCCAAAAGGGAGGCCGAGCAGGGCCATTCTAAAGGGAAAATTTCTTTGAAAAAGGAAATTGAACTGCCCGGTAGGGTGAAAGCGGAAGTCATGGAGGTGAAGCCGGTCAAATCAGAAAAGAAACCGACCGGCGAAAAACCAATGGGTTAGGCCTGAAGGACAGCCGGCCGAGCAGAACAAGAAGAAGAAAGCAGCCGACAAGGAGCACTTACAGGTCATCTACGGCGGACCGGAAGGAGGAGATTCTGCCTCCCAAAGAAAGAAATGGGGGCGAGAACTCTACGTTGGTGCGGTGGCCCTAAATCCCCGGTCGAAACAAGCGAGACGGGAACCGATCATTTTTACTGACCGGGACCTTCCTGCCACAGGAAAAGATCACAATGACCCCCTGGTGATAACTATGGACATGGGTGGAGTTGATGTCTCCCGGGTACTTGTTGACACGGGCAGCAGTGTTAACGTTTTGTACCTGGATGCATTTGAGAAGCTCAAGTTGTGTCGAACACGGCTTGAGCCCTTAAAGACTCCCCTGTCCGGTTTTACCGGGGACTCGGTCGAAGCTGAGGGGTCGATCCTTTTAACTTGTGAGCTGGGCACGGGCGAGCAGGTCGTCCAGAAGCAAATGAGGTTTGTAGTTGTGAACATCAAATGTGTTCACAATGCTATTTTGGGCCGGCCTGGGATAAACAAGGTCCGTGGGGTCATCTCCATGGCCCATCTCTGTATGAAGTTCTATATCCCGGGCGGTATAGGACAAGTCAGAGGAGATCAAAAGAAGGCCCGGCATTGCTATCTGGAGGCAGTAAAGAAAATGACAAAGGCCTTTGAGAGAGTCACTCTGGTCTCTCAGGAGGAAGACCGGTCAAAATTAGAACCAGGCGATGAAACTGAGCAGATTGTTCTCCGGGAAGCCTTCCCAGAAAGAATGGTACGGATCGGAAGAGATCTGCCCGGAGGACTTCGAGATGAAATCATCTCAGTTCTTCGGGAATATGCAGATATTTTCACCTGGAGTGTGGCAGACATGCCGGGCATTAACCGTTCTGTCATATGCCATCGTTTGGCCGTGATGGACGGGAGTCGGCCTGTGAAACAAAAGAAGAGGCACTTGGCGAACGTCCGGAGGGACTTTGTGAAGAAAGAAGTCAAGGACTTGTTGGCGGTCGGGCACATACGGGAAGTACAATACCCGGCCTGGCTGGCTAACGTCGTCTTGGCTCCAAAAGGCGACACATGGCGCATGTGCGTGGATTACACAGACTTGAACAAGGCGTGCCCCATGGATTCATACCCGCTGCCCAGTCCCGATCAGATGGTCGATGAGACGGCCGGGTGTGAGTTGCTGATGCAGATATGCTTTCAAAATTGACACAAGCTTGCCCAGAGCATGTGTCGAAGTTGGCGAAAATTGAGATCCTGGACGTGCCGAGTACAGACCGGTTTGAAGTCGCAGCCATCCAACCGGGCCTGACTTCAGCGACCGGGATAATCGGAGCAGATGATGACTGGAGGTATGAACTCATGGAGTATCTGGAGACCAGTCAGAAGCCAGATGACGAGGAACGAGCCAGGAAAGTGGTCTTATGGGCTCCACGTTTCCAGGTAATCGATGGTCATCTGTACAAACGTGCCATTGGCGGACCACTCTTGCGTTGCTTAACCAACCCAGAGGCTGAACGGGTAATAGCTGAGGTGCACGAGGGAGTTTGTGCAGCCCATCAAATGTCCCGCACTTTGGCTCAAAGGATAATCCTACTAGGCTACTACTGGCCGACCATTGTTGGGGATTGTGAAAGGTATGTCCAGAAATGTAGAACGTGCCAGGTTTCATCCCGGCAGACCGGCCACTTATTACCAACCTACCTCTAATGTCATACCATTTTCCCGGTGGGGGATTGATATTATTGGAGCCTTCCCGGTTGCCCAAGGCGGAAAGAAATTCGTGATGGTGGCTATTGACTACTTCACTAAATGGATCGAGGCTGAGGCGATGGCCACCATAACCGTGCGGCAATGTGAGAAATTTGTTTGGAAAAACATTCTCACCCGGTTTGGTGCCCCACGAATTATTGTTACCGACAACGGTCCACAGTTTCGCAATCCCCGGTTCACTGCGTACCTTGCTAGCTTCGGGGTCAAGCACAGCAAGGCTTCGGTAGCATATCCACAAGGAAATGGCCAAGTCGAAAATGCTAACCGGACAATAGTGGACGGTTTAAAAAAGAGGCTGGGTGAGGAAGGACACAAGTGGTTGAAAGCCTTGCCTCACATGGTCTGGGCGCACAGGGTGACTTCGAGAAGAGCAACTGGAGAGACTCCTTTCGTGCTCACTTACGGATGTGAAGCCCGGTTACCAGTAGAGGCAGAAATTCCAACATTTAGAGAAACCGTCTATCAACGCGGTCAGAATGAGGTCGACCACCTCGCTGAACTAAATCTGGTGGAAGAACGAAGGACTGTAGCAGCTGTCAAGATGGCCGGTTACCAACAGTCAGTAAAACGGTATCATGACAACCGGGTAGGCCCGCGATACTTCCAAGTGCATGATAAAGTTTTGCGCAGAAGGGATGCTAGTAAGCCTAATGAGAGGGGTAAGCTGGTACGTAATTGGGAAGGGCCCTATCGCGTAAAAGCAATCGTCAGACCGGGCACTTACCAATTGGAGACTATGGAAGGTGGCCGAGTCGAGCGACATTGGAACTCTCATCACTTGCGTAAATTTTTTAGATAAAGTGTAATGAGTTCCCAGTCATTAATAAAACCTGTTCTTTTCAGAAAGATTGTTCTCATACATCAACCGGTAATTCGTCACATACCAATCTACCCGGTTAGATGTCCAATCGAATTGGGCATCTAAAAAAAAGAAGGAACTGGTCTGACCGATCCAACACCTCATCCGTACTGACACGGGAGTTAAAAACGATTTGGCTTAACTAGAGGGAGAGCATCCCGGCCAGTTTAAGCCAGACGTTTTGAAGGAAAACTTAAGGTTTACCTTTCCACAAGGGCGTTAAGCCATTGCGGAAACAGGGAGGCCTTACGAGAGCCCGGGCAGATGATTTACCTTTCGAAAAGGCCAAGTCAATACGCCATCAAGGGTTATACTAAACCGGGAGGAAGTTTATAAAACTTAAACTCTTCCCAGCCGACTACCCAGTCTTTCGAAAGGGCTTGGGCAAAATTGTATTCTAAGCCGGGTAAATATAGCCGGGCTGTTATTTACTAATCTAAACGGTTGAAGAATCTAAGTTGAAAAGAATTAATGAAATATGGAAAAAAGCACTCAGCACATAACAAAAAGCATATTTTCATTAATATTTCAATGTCTTACAAAAGTGCCCGGAGGCAGACCATTACATCATAAAAAAAAAGAAAATTAGATGAGGAAGGAAGGCCGGACGGATCAGATGCCCGGGAAGGGAGGTTCAGGCGCCTCGCTGTGCAGCTCGGGTAGAGAAAGAGCCTTCGGCTGAAAACCTTGGATCCTCTGCTGAAGGATGCCGTAGAGGGCCTTCCGCTCCGAGTACTGACCGCTTTCAAAGCCGTACGTTCCGATTTCGTCGACGATCCCGGCCGAGACCTCGTACTTGTACAAGCCTTGGAAGAAGCGGATGGCAGTCTCCCGGTCAGGCAACGCCTTAGCAGCGAACTCCTCAGGCGCTTGAGTAGCCCAGGCAGCAGCAAGGGCGGCACGCTCCGACTGCTCTTTCTGCAGCTCATCTCCCAGCCGAGCGATTTCCTCGGCTGACCGGGCATTTTCGGCCTCCAGCTGATTGATCTTGGCCTGGGCCTGCTCATCGGCCTCTTTCGCAGCCTTGAGGAGACCGTCGTGCTTGGCATAGAGCTGGCGGTAAACCGCACAGTGCTCTGTCCATTTGGCCTCTATCTTCACTGCCTTGGCCCGGGCAGCCTGGGCTTCCTTCCGGCATTCGACCATCATGGCCTCCATCCGGGCCTTCTCCTCATCCATCGACTTCACCAGCCGGGCGAAGTACTCCTCCCCGATCCGGCCGACCTGCTTTAAAGACATTGAAAATTTCTCAGAAAAGTATAAAAACGGTAAGTAGGCGATAGGAGAGGAAAAGGGGTTACCTCATTCAGATCCGATCGGAACGCTCGGAAGAGTTCCTCGTTTGACCTGGACATCAAAGCCAGGGAACAAGGCACGATGGGCCCCTTGCCGGCATCGGAGGACTGGGGCCCCTGGTGAGTTGGCTGGTTGACCTCTTCGGTCCTCCGCCTCTTCCGTTGAAGAGACTCCCCAGCTGTCTCTTCCTCGGCTTCGCCCTCCTCGTTGGGCTGGCCTGCCATCCCAGCCTGGGACGTGTGCCCGGGCTCCCCCATCAGGGTGTCGAACTCGAAGGTATCTACATTAATGTAGAGATCCCCCGAGTGAATGGGCTGGTTGGTTCCCTGATGGGATTGGGTTGGTTGCTCTTCCAGGGAGAAGGGCTGGCTGGATGGAGGGTCGATCGGTTGAGCAGTGGTGGGCTCCTCAACCACAATCTGGGGGACGGCAAACTTGGACTGAAACTTTACCACTGAAACAAAAAAGGAACCGGTTAGAAGAATGAAGTTGAGAACAAAATTAATTCAAATGAAAAATGAGAAGAGCGGTTGATTGACCTTTCTCCTTCTTCTTCTTCGCCGGGCGTGAAGGACCGGCAGTGGCAGTGGCCAGGACTTTGGATCCCCTCGCCCGGCTGATGGGGATAGCTTCGGGGATCGCCCCGGGCAGGACAATCTCCGGCTCAGGATCAGTTTCCCGGCCGGGGTAGACACTCCACTTCCCAACGTGGTACAGACCGCGGGTGGAGGTGTGCCCCGGCCCGGAGGGTGGCTTCCCAGGCAACCAGGTCATCGGCCTCCGTTGGTTTGACCTGGCGCCTCATTCTTTTCCCCCCAGACATTTTGGGCAAAGGGAAAGGCAGCCGGGGGAAATTTAATACAAACATATTTGTCCTTCCACTTCTTGTTAGAAGGTGGAAGGCCGCAGAGGAATGCCCGGCCTTGATGGGAAGACACCACCACGAATCCAAGGGTTTCCTTGGACCTGGGCCGGACATCGAACATGTAGTCAAAGAGACGGAGAGAGAGAGGAATACGAAGGAACCGGCAGAAATTGATGAAACTGCCCAACAAACGGTGACCATTAGGGGCCAACTGCCCGGGCATGATCCCGTATGTCTCAAAGAAAAGGACTTTGAATGGGTGAATAGAGAACTCACCCAAGTCCTTGATCGAATGGTAATGGATACCAATCGACGTGCCGGCGTGGAGAGGTATAATACTCTTCCACGTTGCCCGGTAGGTCAATTGATACCCATCGAGCATCAGATTACGCAGTTCGTGGACTTGGGGCTTCTGCATGTACGACGGTTGCCCTTGGAGCAACCGATCGTCTAGCTGAATGAAACCCTCGTCCCCGGACTGGGCAACCGAGACCACTTGCGCCGCGGAAGAAGAGGGAGCGCAAGTGGAGGCATCAGCCGGCTTCTTCTGTGGAGAAGTAGCCGGGTGCTCAGAATCGGAGGAAGAAGATGAATGAGAGGAACCAAAGGTTGGGGACCGGCCACCAGTACCGTAGGAGTGAACGGAAGGGTTCTGGCTATCCTCACGGTCCGACATGACTCAGAAAGGGGGGGAAAGAGACTTACTTGGAGACGATTAGAAGACTCGGAGGACTTGGAAATAGTAGAAGCAGCCGGGCAGTTTTATGAATTGAAGATTTGCAAGTGAGGAAATTCCAAGGAGAACGACGCTTTATATAGGAGAGATGCCGCCCAGACGGGCGAATGAGGAAACGACACGTGGCAGTTGAAATGATTTGCCATCATAACCTCTCGGGGAGACGAAACGGCACATTAAATCGGCGGCTCTGTACCCAACTTCAAGAAGATTCTCTTGCTTTGGACGCCCGGTTTTTGAAAATTCAAATTTCAAATTTCAAATATTTTGGTTTAGGCGCTGGTTTTCCGAGATGATTTTCCCGCCAAAGGGAGACTGGGCAGTTCAAATTTCAGGAGATAATCGCATATGCTTCCCGCCCTTGATGGTCCCCACAGGACCGGGAATCGGAGGACTCCTTGATGGGTAATAACCCATGGATACCACCCGTTTGGTTCGTCCGACTGGGTGGCGATTGGAGTGACAGAGCGCATCCTTCTCAGACCGGGTCGTGAGGCCGGTAGGCTGGGTGGGCTATATGCCTACAACAATCGAAACGTTCTCCAAGTGCTCTTATGGGACCGGTCGGAAGGCTGACCGGTTGAATAATCAGAGACGTGCTTGACGTGCTTAGTTTTGTTATAAATACCCTTAAAACCCTCATTTGTGAGGTATGTTTTAATTAACCTACACGGCTTGTACTGTGTAATAGTCCTAGCATTATCAATAACAAACCGGGTTACAGGTGTTTCCACCTACAGCCCTTCCGATTACTTTTACTTAGTGTTTGCGTGGTAATTTACACCATCACTTTTGATATAACTTTAGAAGGAAGGTTCGCATGACGTTGGGAACCAATGTCATGGGATGATCCGAGGGTGCTCTAGTATCCCGTTCGTAAAATTGACGGTTCCTACCCCCTGATAACCCCTCCACCCTGCCCCGACCCGGACATTGGTTTCCAATTTCATGGGAATCAAGGTGAACTTTAGGATATAATTTTTGGTCTAATGAACCATGGTTGAAAAAACTACTCTGCCGTAAGACTTAGGCCCCGTTCCGTTCAACTTATTTTTTCTTATTTTTTCTTATTCTTATTAAAATCAGATCAGATCAGATCAGACCAGATCAGATCAGATCAGATCAGATCGAATCAGATCAGATCAGATCAGATCAAATCAGATCAGATTAGATCAGATCAGATCGAATCAGATCAGATCAGATCCAATCAGATCAGATCAGATCCAATCAGATCAGATCAGATTCAATCAGAACTTATTAAAATCAGATCTCATCAAGAATTATTATTATTATTATTATTATTATTGTTATTGTTATTATTATTATTATTATTATTATTATTATTATTATTATTATAATCATCATCATCATCATGATCATCATCATCATCATCATCATCATCATTATTATTATTATTATTATTATTATTATTATTATTATTATTATTATTATTATTATTATTATTATTACTGTTCTTAAAAATGAAAAAGAATAAACTTTAGAAATAGGTTAAATAGAAAACTGAGAAAGTAATCCTTAATTATTAGATGTCGGAAAAATTAGTTTTAAAATACATTGATAATATCAATCTAATTCTATTTTTAAAATATATTTTTATTGCTACTTGTAGTTTGAGTTTCTAAACTTTTGATCTTTTATAAGGACGAGATATTTTAATAAAAATACTATCTCTTCTATATATTGATTATCTAAATTTAATTACTTTTTAATGTATATCTAAATTAAATACTTATTCTAATGTATAATTCTAATTTTACAAAAAAATTATCATAAAATAAAAAATATTATTACATTATAATATGAATGATTATTCTAATATATGAATTAACTATTTTTATTTTATTAAAAAATAATCATTAAATAAAAAATATTGATTATATTATAATATGAATTATCATTACAATTTTCAAACGTTATTATAAAGTCAAATTAAATTATTGATTTGAAATTTTAAATTAAATCATAATTAATNTTATTCTAATGTATAATTCTAATTTTACAAAAAAATTATCATAAAATAAAAAATATTATTACATTATAATATGAATGATTATTCTAATATATGAATTAACTATTTTTATTTTATTAAAAAATAATCATTAAATAAAAAATATTGATTATATTATAATATGAATTATCATTACAATTTTCAAACGTTATTATAAAGTCAAATTAAATTATTGATTTGAAATTTTAAATTAAATCATAATTAATGAGATCAGACCAGATCAGATCAGATCAGACCAGACCAGGTCAGATCCAATCAGATCAGATCAGATCCAATCAGATCAGATCAGATCAAATTAGATCATATCAGATCCAATTAGATCAGATCAGATCCAATCAGATCAGATCAGATCAGATCCAATCAGATCAGATCAGATCAGATCCAATCAGGTCAGAACTTATTAGAATCACATTAAGTTGAACGAAAAGGAGCTTAAAGTTACGGAATGGTCAGTTAATAGGGTGATCGCAATGTTCAACAGCTTACAGCTCATTATCACACCGCCCCAGACAATGTTTTTTCCATTCTACTTCAAGCTATGGTAATTGACAAACTACCCAGATAAACACAATCCCCCCAAAAATTCTCTTCATTCATTCATAGTTCAGACAATGAAAGATCCTGTTTTTGTTTCCCCTTTCTTCTTCTTCTTCCTCCTCCTCTTCACCCCTTCTCAGCTTAATGGGTACTATAGAATTCTTTCATCTCATTACCACACTGTGTTTGATTTCTATACAAGTCTTGGCACACACTGTTCTATGTTGATCATGGGTGATCATTTATACCAAGACTGTGTTTTTTTCCATTGTATTGTGATTTTTTCCCTTTGGGTTTTCTTCTTCATTGTTTTTCCCGTAGTATTTACTAATCTTTTTTCATTTTTTCTTTAATTCGGCAAAGAAGTTTGAATTTTTATATTTTCTTTATGCAGGGATGAAAAGTTTGGTTGTTTATTTATGTTTTGATCTTAGGGTATATGCTTTTGCATCGCATTCTTTCTCAAATCCGGTATAAAAAAACAGTGACTACCCCACAGTTGGGAGAATGTTTTTATGTTACTTTTTAATCTTAGGGTGTCTGATCTGGGCGTATTTGGGCATTGACTTATCTTGTCAATAATTGGTTGTTTAAGCATGAACTTTCTAATTGTTGAGAGACCATTTTTTTTACTTGGATTCAATCCTTTTTATTTTAAGAGTTGTTTGACCCAAATGCATTATAGTAGGATGCAGTGATCCGGCCAATTATGAACTATACTTCATTAGGTTGCTGAGGATGTTTTTTTTTACAATCATTTCAGAATAAACTCAGAAGTTCAGCCCCATGCTAACTTACCACCAAGAGGTTGGAACTCGTACGATTCATTCTCTTGGGTCATCACGGAGAAACAATTCATTCGCAATGCAGAACTTGTCGCTCAGCGGTTGAAGCCCAATGGCTATGAGGTATCAATAACATTCATTTATGCCCATCAGATATTAAAATGGTGCGCCAAAACTATAATGATTATTCCAAACAGAGCTTTGTGCTTTGGAGAGAAAATCGATCAATCAAGAGTCTTTGGTTTCGCTATTAACTCATCGTTGTACATTTTGCAGTATGTTGTGGTAGATTATCTATGGTATAGGAAGAAAGTAGAGGGAGCGTACACGAACTCTCTTGGATTTGATGTAATCGATGAGTGGGGAAGGATGCAGCCAGACCCTAGTAGATGGCCTTCCTCTGCAGGTGGGAAAGGATTTACGAACATTGCTTCTAAGGTTCATAGCTTGGGTTTGAAGTTTGGGATTCATGTCATGAGAGGTGTGAGTACCCAGGCAGTCAATAGTGGTGCCCCAATCTTGAATGTCCAAACGGTATTGTTCCTTGCTCATTACCACTATAATGTTTAGATCCCATTTTTGGTCATGGTGAATTTGTCGGAACTTATTTATTGCTTTCGTAAAGGAGAAAATACATGAAGGTTAAATTGCTAGCATGATAATCTTTTGCAACTTCAACAATGAAACTTGAAAGCTGCCATAACCCTTTTTTTTCATTATTTATGGATCCAACATGTGCCTTCAAACAAATTAATGTTTGGTAAAAAATGTAGCTTTTAAGCCGAAAAAAGCTAGCTACCGAATGACCACAGAATATGCTACAAACACTGCTTCATTTTATGTATTGTTTCTGAAACTGAAAGCCTGAACACCCTTTTTATTGATTTGATTCAAAAGGGGAAAGCGTATGAAGAGGCCGGAAGGGAGTGGAAAGCAAGTGATATAGGCATCAAGGAGAGGGCGTGCGCGTGGATGGATAAAGGGTTCATGAGTGTAAATACCAAATCTGGAGCTGGAAGAGCATTTCTCAGGTCACTCTATCAACAGTATGCCGATTGGGGTGTTGATTTTGGTAAAAGGAATATGTTGATGGTTAAAATGGCATATTTGTATAGAAACATTTGCACTAAATGGCACAAAAATTTAAGTCATTTCTCTAAATAGCACTTGAACTGTTTTATTCCCTAAATAACACTTAATAATGTCCAGAAGGAGGAATAATGTCCAGTGATGGCGAACATTTACTTGAATAATGACTAAAAGTGCTACATTGGGAAAAAACACATATGATGCTATTTAGGGAAAGTCATTACTCCGGTATATTTTAGTGTTATTTAAGTAAATTCTCCTATTTGTATATTCATCAAGATATTAATCCTTAGCAGCAACAGTTTTTTTGCGTGCTTTTTGCAGTGAAACATGACTGCGTTTTTGGCTCTGATTTGGACTTAGATGAGATAACTGTAGTTTCAGAGGTTGGTACCCTTTAATCAGTAAAAGGATGTTTTCTTGAGCACTTAAACGAAAAGGAAACAATTAAGCAATTACATTATGGTTTGAGCTTTGAAGTTTCCATGCATGTATGTAGTTAAAGAAGCATTAAAATGAAAGATATAAGTCTGGAGTTGGGATATGGCAGGTATTGAAGGAGCTTAATCGCTCCATAACGTACTCTCTGTCTCCCGGAGTTCATGTGACATCAGCAATGGCAAAGGAGGTTAGTAGTCTTGTAAACATGTATAGAATAACCGGCGACGACTGGGATACCTGGCCTGATGTTGCTTCGCACTTTGACATTGCAAGGTTCGGAGCCTTAATTTCATACTGTCCCTTAATTAGTAAAGATTATACTTTCTCCGTCCCATAATACTTTTCAAAGATGAAAAAATGCGGCCCCTAAAAATGGGAAATCTTGATACTATTTTCTAATTCTGACTCATCTGTCCTACATATCATATCACATCTCATTATAAAGTAAGGGCAGAATTAGAAAATAATATCAGAATTACACATTTTTAGGCCGCGTCTTTTTTGGTCTTTGAAAAGTTTATGGGACGGAGGAAATGTTGTATACCCTTAACAAAAACTATTTCTTAAACATTGGCTATGGCCGGTTTTATTTTTGTAATTTTATAAATCTTTTTGTCCCAGACCCTACTGTAGTGGGATCCAACTGGGTTGTTGTTGTTTGTTATAAATCTTTTTGTTATTTGCTTCTTTTTCACATCTTACTTACTCTGTAGTATATGCCTCAGGGACATGGCTGCGGCTAATTTGATAGGTAGTAAGGGCCTGCAAGGGAAGTCATGGCCTGACTTAGATATGTTACCTTTTGGTTGGCTGACAGATCCGGGTGAGGATAAATGACCGTTTCAGTCACTCAGTTTCATTGTTTCAAGATTTAATAGTTATCCATGATTTTCTTTCTTCCATAATCTTGTAATTTCCTGTCAAAACATGTTTTTGGGAAATCTAATAAGAGTGTGAGAATATACCGTAGGATCAAACGAAGGTCCACACCGACACAGCAATCTAACTCAGACCGAACAGAAAACGCAGGTAGTTATTGATGCTCGCCAACCAATATGACTTCTGTTGATACATTAAGACATGAATGAATGTAGACATGACGCGTGTCCATATTCATTCAACTTTGAGTGCATCGCATAAAAGTCATAATAGTCTGTTAAGATAATGCAGAATGTTTTCTTTGCAGATGACATTGTGGTCCATGGCCAAATCTCCCATCATGTACGGAGGCGACATGAGAAGAATTAGCACCCACACGCTTGCTCTCATTACCAATCCTACTCTACTAGAGATAAACTCGTTTAGCACATACAATAAAGAAGCAAGTCAAAAAAAAATAATCTTCCAGTTATAATTGAGAAAATCTAGAGTAAGCCAATAACTCTGAAATTTCAATGCAGTTTCCATACATAACCGACTCACAATCTTCTCGACGCGAAAGTGAACAGTGTACTGGCACCTTGCGGGCCCATGTTTTGGCACTCAGAAACTGCAAAGACAGAAAATCACAAGGTTGGTCTAGAAAACATCTTGAGGATCAAATCTGTTGGAAAGGGAACACAACAAAACAACAACAGAAAGCGCCGTTTTGTTTCAACAGACACCAGAAAATGTGGAGCGAGAGTCAGTTTGATGGGAAACTGCATTTGTTGGAAATGAAGACTACTGAGTCTTGCCTTACGGCAGCTCATAATCGGAAGCTTAGTTCTGCAGAAGTTGGCAAAGGTTCATTCTCAGAATGCAGATGGGAAGCCTGCCAGGTACACATATAGCTTATTTGTGGATTTCATAATTATAATTTTCAGGTAAATGATAAATATATACATCATCATCAACAACAACATTATAATTTTGATGATGGGGTCAGTTGGTTCCATGAAATTTCAAATTTATAGTGTACATTTAATGTCTTAAACATTAGCTAATGGTTAAGGCCTTGTTTGGGAATAACGTTTTTAACTAGCGTTTTGGTTTTTTTATGGTGTGGATTAACTTTGAAAACGGTAAAGCTAAACATTGCAATTAGATAACTTGTTTCAAAATGCTTACACTATGTTTGGTTAAGGGAATTTGAAAGAGAGAAGAAAAATGATATGGAAAAATAATTTTTATTGTTTGCCTAGAGCGGAAAGTAAAAGAAAAGTAGAAGGAAAATAAACTAGGAAGAGGGAAAACAAGTTTTATTCCATTTGGGTGAGGAAAAAGAGAGATACCACTTTCTTTTCCTTTCGAGTTCCACGATCCAAACATAGTATAAAGCTAAATATATGTTGAATCTGTTGCCGAACGGGCTCTAAATTTTATGCAAAAAAATGGCATGGTTTGGATAATCGTTATAGTGACTCATATGTGAACTGTCTGACCACAAACAGATGTGGGAGTTGAAGAGAAACGGGACCCTTGTAAGCAATTATTCCGGTCTCTGCGCTTCATTTGATTCGGTTAAAGGTAGCATTTTCAGGTCCCACAATTCGCCGCACCTTTCACTCCAACTTTTACACTATCTCTTATTTGCCAATGTGTCTTTTCATACAGCTACTCCCGTAGGAAGTCGTTCTTGGATTGCGAGCGGAAGACAAGGTTCGTTCTAAAACCTAAGCAGTAACAAAAATCTAATGGGTAATTTACCTAAATAGGACTAAAACATAATGACTTTCTCAATATAGGACCATATGTTTTTATTTTCCAATGTAGGACCATTGGTCATTATCTATTAGTCATTATTCAACTAAATGTCCAGCATCACTTGGACATTATTCTTCTCACTAGTCATTATTAAGTCCTATTTAGTGAATAAAAAAGTTTAAGTCCTATGTTGGGAAATGACTTATGTTTTAGTCCTATTCAGTGCAAATTTCGGAAATTCTAATACGGGTGTGTAATATGATATTGTTACAACAACAACAAACCCAGTAAAATCCCACTGAGTGGGAGGGAGGGTAAGTCTACGCAGATCCCTACCCCACTTAGATAGTAGAGAAGCTGTTTCCAAAAGACCCCTAGCTCAAAACACAAAAGAACCCAAAGAAAAGGAGAGGCACCAATAAAGGAGTAAGTATAAACCTACGCACCTAGCCACAACAATCTAGGGCAATGTGTCCTACGCAAGGGTTACTTCGAATCCTTCACCTCCGATCATTTCTAACACTCCGTGTTAATTTGTTGTACAGGAGAAATCTACGTCGCGTTCTTCAATCTGAAAGAAGCATTGTCTGAAATCTCAACGACAACATCGGATATAGCCAAGGCGCTCCCTGAAAGAAACTTGAGCCACACACTTATATGCTCAGGAAGAGAATTATGGACCGGAAAAAACATCGGACCCGGAAAGGTATTGTCCATGGCTATAAGAGCACATGGGTCTGCTTTGTTCATACTCAACTGCAAATGATGGTGATCAAGAATAAGAATGAATGAAAGATCAATCCTGCCATGAAATGTTTCTGCCTACAAGTTTTGAGTTTCCACTAGAAAATAAAATCAGGGGGGAAGAATTCTATGGGAAAAGTTTTGTATGGAAAAAATAAAAATCGAATACATGCGAAAATCGCGTAAAATATTGGGTTATCTCAGGATATGTTTTGAAGTTGGAACCAGAAAATGGCAGGGAAATAAAACATTGGAGTAGGAAAGAAAAATGGGAAGAAAATAAAACTTTGGAGTTATAATACCTTAAGAAAAGAAGAGTTTAATGATAAAGGTGATGTTTAAGCTGGATTTCAGTTGGTGCAATGTGTGGAGGGGCTGGGTATGATTTAGCATTTCATTCTTTTTTGGGCCTTTTCAATTTGACTTTTTTGTTCAAACAGTGATACTCTTTGACTAATTAAATATAATCTAAATAAATAAATGATTTTCATTCCGTCCCTAAATAATTTACAAAATTTATTATTTAAAAATCGCAAGAATTTTTGTTTATTTCTGTGTTTTCATTGACTATTTGATAAGTAAAATATTCTTGTCATCTCTTGTTTTGTAGAACTTTTGATGTACCCGGAGTAATTTATAAATATGTAAGTTTTATTTTTTATTTATATACCAATTTTTGAATAAAATGGATTGAAAAACTTGAGATTTTACTTCATTTTGAGTAAAGAGTAAATAATTTATGGACGGAGAAAGTATAAAAATTTGATATATCAAAACAATATCTTAAGATGAATCTAATTATATTAAATTTATATTTTAATTAAATATACTTTTCTAACAATTAATGGTCAAAGATTGTTATTGTTTGATAAAAAAAATTAAAACAAAAAGAGTTTTTAAGACCGGAAGAAGTATTTTTTAGACGTTAGGTCAATGTTTTGAAAATAGGGAAGAAATTATATTCCCTCCGTCCACAAATAAATTTTCCGTTGCGCGTTATGATGTTTAACTGAAGTTATTTTCAGATCATTTTATATGAAAAATGATATAAAATTTAAAAATAAAAATTACATATTAAAAAAACTATATCAAAAGATTCAATTGGAGCTTATTCTTTTAAGAAATTACTTTGAGTAAAACATAGGGAGTAATATTTATCTTAAAAATAAGAATTTCATATTTATTTCAATGTTTATTCCATGTTTTATCTTCAAATTAAGAATTTTATGATATTGTATTCCATGTTTATTCTAATTATGCTAGACTTTTTTGTGAAAGAAAGAAAAAGAAGGGAGTGGGAGGGGGGAAGAAGAAGAAGAATAAAAGAAATTAGGTCAAATTGAAAAATTTAAAATATATAAAATTCTAATTTAGCCGAAATGATTGGAAGTTAACCTGGAAACGGGTAAATAGAAAAGGATTATGTAAGTTCGGTTACTTTTTCGTGAAAGGATTTAAAATTAAGGTAATAATTCTAAATTTAAATTAATTTACCCGAGACAGTATTAAGAAATGTACAGTCACTAGTTTTGTCGTCGTATCATCCAAATTCATCTTTTTCAGAATTCAAACAAGCCTTTGAATTTTAGCGCCGCCCCATTTTCTCTCATTTCCAAAATAACCAACCCATAATATTCTCCGCCCTCAGCCCCTCTTTCTTTCCTCCATTGAAACCTCTTCCGCTGCGCTCCTCCGCACACGGCCGTCTTCATCCCCCCGCCACCGCCACACCACCGTCTCCAAACATGAACAGCCCCGCCATAAATCCTTCCCCCCACCCATCTCCCTCCCCTTCCCTGAATTTCGCGTCCAAGCCCGGCCAAATTTACCCCCAACGCCTATGGTCNGCCCCTCTTTCTTTCCTCCATTGAAACCTCTTCCGCTGCGCTCCTCTGCCACACGGCCGTCTTCATCCCCCTGCCCCGCCACGCCACCGTCGCCGAACATGAACAGCCCCGCCCTTAATCCTTCCCCCCGTCCACCTCCCTCCCCTTCCCTGAATTTCGCGTCCAAGCCCGGCCAAATTTACCCCCAACGCCTATGGTCAAATCCCCCGGCCTTTCTTTCATCTCACCTGGAAATTTCACGAAAACCCGGTAAAATCAACCCAAGAAACCCGGGTTCGAACCGTCTGCCCGTATCCGGGTCCGCCGGGAACGGAATCCCCTCCGTCGGCGATAAAGTTCGGATCTTGGCATCCGAATTCAAGGCCCTCCCCGACCCGATCGACCGGGTGAAGAGATTGCTGCACTACGCGACGCTCCTCCCGCCGTTCGATGACTCGGGTCGGGTCAGGGGAAATCGGGTGATGGGTTGCACGACCCAGGTGTGGCTGGAGGCGAGGATGGACGGGGAGGGGCGGATGAGATTTAAAGTGGACAGCGACTCGGAGATCACCAAAGGGTTCTCCTCCTGCCTGATATGGCTGCTGGACGGGGCAGCCCCGCCGGAGGTGCTCGGCGTGGCGGCGGAGGATTTGGCGGCGATTAATGTGGTCGGGTTCCCGAGCAAGGTTCGGTCGAGGGTGAATACCTGGCACAATGTGCTGATCGGGATGCAGAAGAAGACCATGGATTGCGTTGCGGAGAGGGAGAAATTGCAGCAGAGTTTACTCAGATAATTAGGTTTCAATCTTTGCTTATTTGAGATTAGAGTAGAGGCTTTGAAGAAATTTAGGATGGGTTTTTTTTCCTCCCTCTGTTACACACTTACACCCAAAGTTGCAAGGATTATAATGCGTGAATATGTAATGAATCTTGTACCATGTAGGGAGTATAACTTTTAGTTTCCGGACGGACCAAAAAGGAAAGTGGGAAGAATATTTCCGGACGGAGAGAGTATAACTTTTAGTTTTACTAGAAAATCTATTCTCTTTTCGTATCAAAAAGATTATCACAATTTGATTTTTTCAATCAAATTCTATTAAACAATTTGACTAAAGAAGCCATGGTGTGATATTTTTTTAGGACAGAAGAAATAAATTTATAAAGACACAAAAATCAGATTGTGAGGAAATGAGTGGCAATCGAACTTAGCGTTGTTCAAGTTTAGGTCTAAATCCAAAAAATCAATCGAAGTGATTTGTTAGGTCAAGATCGATCCCAGAACGAATGGATCTTGGCTGATCTTTGATCCCAAAAAATAAGGTATTCGTGTTTTGGTTCGATATAGTCTAAATCTAAAATAATTTAAGTATGGACCGGATGGACATAATAATCCTATTGAATCTAAAAAAATCTAAATGTAGAATTTTTACATTTTATGTTTGGTATTATACGTTGATGCTCTATTTTGATTGATATTTTAATGAGAAATTTACCTAAATAGGACTAAAACATAATGACTTTCCCAATATAGGACCATATGTTTTATTTCCTAATATAGGACTTTTGGTCATTATCAAGTAGTCATTATTCAAGTAAATGTCCATCATTACTGGACATTATTCCTCCCACTAGGTCATTATTAAGTCCTATTTAGGGAATAAAAAAGTTTAAGTCTTACATTGGGAAAGTCATTATGTTTTAGTCCTATTTAGTGCAAATTTTACTTTAATTTATTTAATTAACAAGGATTAGGTAACTGTCTCCAACAACATAAAAACTTAATTCACATTAGCTTTTGTGATTATATATAGACGTAGTCAATGTTGTGTATCTATTTGTAGTTTTTGTCAATTTTAATTTTTTCTTCTTTGCACGATAAAAACTAAAAAGCCTAAAATATAATTAATAAATTGAAATAATTACAGTGTATAACTTTATTTGGTCGAATCGGTCTGGACAAATTTGGCTCTAAGTATTTCCGTCCGGTTTAGTCTAAGACCGAATGAGTTTAAATCCAGTCTTTGACCATTATTTTGTTCAATTCGGTCTTTGACGGACCGGACTGATGAATAGTCCTAACCGTATTACTGTAATGGAATTTAAAAACTAAACATATGATAGTAGATACACAGTAGTTCATGTTGTATATCTGTTTTTAGTATTTCAATTTTATTTTTTCTATTTGTACGGTCAAAATAGAAAGGCCTAAAATATATGGAGTAATTAATAGATCAAAAGAATTACTCTCTCCATCCCAAAAAACATTTCTCCTTCAAAAAAGTGTGCCTTACAACATAGAATTCTAATATTATTTTATAATTATAGTTCATTTGTTCTATACATCGTATTTTGCCCTATTATAAAGTAAAGGTAAAAATAAAAGATAAAACCAAAATCACACATTTTTAAGGAGCATCTTTCTTCAAACAAGAATGGGTTTAAGGGTGAGAGTGAATACAAGATACTCCCATCGTCTAACAATTTGTTTCTCGTTTTGACTTGACACAAAAATTAAGAAACATTAAAAAATGTAAAAATTTTCTTTATTTGTTTTTGATGTGATGCTATAAATTGAATCGTGTAAATTAAAAAATTGCTATAATTGTAAATTTATTAAAAGTCTTTTTTGCCAAAATAGTGATCAAAAAAGAAATTTGTACAGAATCTGAAAAGGAAAATGCAAATAATCATGTATTTAAAAATACATGAAAGAGTGGAAAAGTAAAAATACAAGATACTCCCATCGTCTAACAATTTGTTTCTCGTTTTGACTTGACACAAAAATTAAGAAACATTAAAAAATGTAAAAATTTTCTTTATTTGTTTTTGATGTGATGCTATAAATTGAATCGTGTAAATTAAAAAATTGCTATAATTGTAAATTTATTAAAAGTCTTTTTTGCCAAAATAGTGATCAAGAAAGAAATTTGTACAGAATCTGAAAAGGAAAATGCAAATAATCATGTATTTAAAAATACATGAAAGAGTGGAAAAGTAAAAATA